GTGTTACACTGTGTCCCCCCCAAAATCAGGTTGGAGTTCTAAACCCCGTACCTGTCTGCAGATGTCATCAAGCTAAGACAAAGTTGGAATGGACTGGGGTGGGCTCCAGCGCACTGACTGAGACACACACACACACACACACACACACACACACACACACAGCGGGGAGAGTGTCATGTGAGGAGGGAGGCGAGATGGGAGTAATGCAGTGAAGAGCCAAAAAAAGCCAGGCCCTTTGGCAGCCACAGGGAGGGGCTGGGAGAGGCAGGAAGGACCTCCCCTGAGCCCGGGGAGGGAGCAGGCCCTGCCTACACCCTGATTTTGAACTTCTGGCCTCGGGAACTTCGAAAACACATTTCTGTTAAGTCACCTCATTTGTGGTAATTTATTGCAGCAGCCTCGGGAAAAGAAAAACTCAGAGATCATTCATGAAGGAGAAAAGGTTGGTCACCTGCTTGTGACCTTGTGTGCAATGCTACCAGCATCAGGGCCCCCAGACCCTTCCCACTATACCCACCTCCCACAGTGAAGGAAAACAGACAGAAGTCAAGAAAGTGCAGGGTATGGTGGGAGGAAGAACTTGAGGATGAAGGTGTGTCTGAGGGTGGTTGGTTATTTAAAAAAATATTTGTATTGACCTCAGAGAGGAAGGAAGAGGGAAAAAGAGAGACAGACAATCATTGATGAGAGAGAATCATCAACCGGCTGCCTCCTGCATGCCCCACACTGGGGATCCAGCCCCACAATCCTGGCTGGGTCTCGAACCGTGACTTCCTGGTTCATAGGTCGATGCCAACCACTGGGCCATGCCAACTGGGCGAGGTGGTTATTTAACAAGCCCACGTGCACAGCAGGAGCAGTGGTGCGGGGCTTGGACTGTGGACGGGGCAGCCCTGACTGCTCCCCCAGCTCTGCCACTGGCCAGTGTGGCCTCAGACAAAGTAGCCGACCTCCCCAGCTGACAAGGAAGTCACATGACTGCACATCCTTCAAGGGCTGCTGGGAGGATTAGATGAGGCGCCCTGTGCATGGTGCCAGCATGCCATCCGCCTGAAATAAAGGTTGGCAGCCCACGGGAAGGTGGCGAACGGCTCCCCAGACCGTGCCTCCCCGAGGACTGCGCCCATGTCTTGCTTGGGCCTTTGCAGTCCTTCCTCTCTGGGCTGTCGATGCTGAATTCTGCCTCCAGCTCAGAAGCCGCCCAGACCCTCACTCTGACGTTCTTGTTCTTTTAACCCCAGTAATCTTTTCCTTTTCCCCCCATTGTCCGCCTTCTCGGTTTGTTCTATCGCTTCTCCTCTCGCTGGCCACCGCCTTCCTGTTTCCCGGCCTCGCTGGCAGGGAGCTCCATGCAACCTGGGGACACTGGACAGCTCCCTCCTCAACGGCAGAGGCTCGGTTCGCATTTTCAGCTCCAACCCTTCCCAAAAATTGCGGACTAAGTAATAATCAAGCCAGTGCACCATGATTAAAATGCGAGTCCCCGAAATAATTTGGCTTCTTTTCTCACATTCAGATGTGTAACTATGAGAATCATTTGGCTGCCTGTCTTACCCGTCTGAGCGGAGATGACACGTCTTCCAACAGAAACCCCTGAAGACCTTTCAAAGCCATTACCAGGTAGAGCGATGCAGACCTTTAGCACTTTCCGTTGGATTCACTGTTAGCATGAAAGTCCTTTTTCTTTTTTTTATCATAGAAATTGCTGCAATTAGAATCACTTTAGGACACCGTTATTATTATTAATAAGACCACACTGCCCAGTTCAAGCAGAGGCGGGTTCTGTACCGTCAGAAGTCACATAATGGCCAGCTCTCATCTCCATGCCAACGCGGTCCCGCTCTCCCCGGGTTTTCTGGGCAGATCCCTTGAAGAGTGTGAGGCAGAACAAGGAGCCCCAGTTCCTGATAAAAGCCTTCGGGAACCAGCCCATGCCCAACAGCTGGTTTTTCTGGGGGTACAGGCGGGCGGGGACTATTGTTCCTGTGGAATCTTCTCTCCCGTTCCAACTGCTCACTGTGCCCGGAAGAAGAGAGTCCGGGGAGTGGGAGAGTCCGGGTTCGGTTTCATGTTAAGCCCTTAACACCCCAGGGGTAGGGTCCAGGAATCCTTGAAACCAAAATGCAGAGAAAGAAGCCACGAGGCAGGAAGGCCAGGGAGCGGGTTCTGCCTGGTGGTTCAGAACCTGGGTTCTGGAATCCGGGTCCTGGTTCAATTTCTGCTTCTGCTTCCTTGTCCTGTGGCCCCGGGCAAGTCCTTCAGCCCCTTCAAGCCCCAGTCTGCCCACCCCCTCAGCAGGGATGAGAACCATGAGGTAGTTCTGAGACTCCCCTGGGACAGGGGGCCCACAGACTCTCTCTCTCTCTCTCACACACACACACACACACACACACCATGGCACCGTGCTGGCCAGAAGGGAGCCCTCCACACCTTTGGACCACTGGGGCTGGACCCCGCCTGACATATGACTATTACTTAATTCTTCAAAAACTCTTGGCTGTTTACCGCCTGAATCTACAATCCCATTTTTCTCTCCACCTAAGCAAGTTTTCGGCTTCAGAGAACCTGCAGGGAATATAAATCATGCGTCTTGGCCACGAAGAGAGCAGGCAGGCTCACTCTGGGTTCAGAAGTCCCCCCACGGCCGGCTGCAGCCGGGCTAACCTGCCGTGAACACCTGCCGGGGGTCAGACCCCGCAGGGGAGCCTGGGAAAAAGCAATCCAATGCACCTGCCACCGCCCCCGGAGCGTTCACAGGCGGCATTCGCAAAGATCACACATGCGGATCTGCCATAAAGCAGCTTATTACTGAATCAGGCCAGGAGAGAGGCACGGAGTACTTCATTTCCTGCCAAGTGTAAAAGGTATACGTAGATTGTAAAGAACAGCCTTCCCTGGAAACATGCTACCGTTTCTCTGAGAAATAACCTTGAACAAACTTCTTCCTTGGCCGAGGTGAAGATAGGATGAGCATTAGGTACTCAACGCATTCCTGTAACTTAAACATTCTCATTTTAAAGCAAAGATTATTGATTAATAAAGATAAGCTATTACTTATAGAATATTTTTTTATGTTTTTGGGAGCCCAAGAGAAATATTTTTATTTTTATTTTTATTTTTGATTTTTTTTATTGATTTCATAGAGGAAGGGAGAGGGAGACAGAGATTGAAACATCAATGATGAGAGAGAAGCATTGATCAGCTCTCTCTTGCATACCCCACATTGGGGATCGAACCCACAACCTGGGCATGTGCCCTGACCGGGAATTGAACTGTGACCAATTCGATGCTCAACCACTGAGCCCCGCCAGCCAGGTGAGAAATGTGTTTTAGTTCTTTCTTGGGCTTTTTCCTTCCCCTCTTCTCTGGAGGAAGAAGGGCATCAGGACCCATTTATCACTCACCCCGAAATCTGCTTGACTTCAGTAGAGAGAATTCTCGGAAAGAAACACGGGTTCTTCAGCAAGCCTCGCCTTTCCCTGTGGAGAGGCTTTTAGGCCCGTCCCCCAAGGTCACCCTTAGGCCACACAGCGGTCCCACCCTCAGTACCGCGTGAGATCTTGTGAGACAGAAACCTTCAATGCTCTCACCACCCGACACATGTTTTCACGTGGTCTCACCAGCACCAGCATCTTGTGGTCCCTTAAGCCTCCTCAGCTGACTCCCTGAACTGCATCCCTCCAGCCCCCAGCCTCCAGCCCCCAGCCTCCAACCTCAGCCTCAAGCCCCCAGCCCCCAGCCTCAACCCCCAGCCCCCAGCCTCCAGCCCCCAGCCTCCAACCTCAGCCCCAACCCCCAGCCCCCAGCCTCAACCCCCAGCCCCAGCCTCCAGCCCCCAGCCACCCTGGAGACAACACTCAAATGAGAGGAACTAGAATCAAAGTTTTGAGCAGAATCCATTTTTGAAGGTTTTTTGAAAAGACGAATTAAACGAGTATGGAAGTTACTCAGTAGTTTTTTAAACAAAGAATTAGCATGGCATGCCGCTTCTCAAGAAAGTCTTGAATAATTTAATTAGAATTACACCCAAGTCATGAGTCTGTTCTATTTATGGAGGTAGCACGGCTGAATTAAAAAACCCAAATGACAATGTTAGAAGTAAATATAAAGTATCTTCAGACAACGTAGCATCCCCATAAGAAACATCTGACTTCCAATCACCCTTTGATTAGGAAGGAAGGGGAGGGCCTACGCGATTCCTGGGATGTTGTTTTTCTTAAGATGACCCGGCCTGGGGACATTTATTTCTTGCTCCACAAAGTGCTGAGAAGTGAAAATCCTTCGGAGAAGGAGGAAAGGAAAGCTGTTCGATGTTACTTTGTCACCGGGAGACCACTGGGTCCCGAAAACCTAGCTCAGCTCGGCGGGTCTGCTCTCCCAGCAGCTGTGATGCATTAACACTTGGCGCCTCGTGTGCAGACCCGGGGCTCCAAGCGGAGGGGCTGGGCGGCCAGAGGAGGCTCCGGGGGAGGGAAGCGGCCGGAGGGCACCCGGATCGCCCCGCAGACAGCGCCCCCTCCCACCCTCACCCGGAGCGGCAGCTCCCCGCGGGGCGCACACACAGCCCTCTCCAGCTCAGGGCGTCCCGGGCCGGCCACCTGCCGCCTGGGCGAGGACACGCGAGGACGGTGTGTGTGTGTGTGTGTACATAGTAACACAGAGTGCTCCCCCCAATAGAGGCATCTAACCCCTGCACGGCTCCGGGCGGGACGGGGGCGCAGCCGCCAGGAGGAACGCCCTCGGATGGAAGTTACGGGGCTCCCCTCGCCGCCGGCCACAGGGAGCGGGAGGGAATAAGTTCTGGAAACAGACACGTGCTCGCGCCCCTGGCTGCCCCCGCAGGGCTGCCCAGCTCCTGCCCAGATGAGCCCCCTCACCCCCCACCTGCACCCCCGACCCCAGCCGGCCGCGGGGTGCCCAGCCCCCCTGCTCCCGCGGCTGCAGCCCGAGGACTGCAGGGTCAGGGGGATGTCGGTCCGGGCGGGCGCCCCCAGGCCTACCTTCTGCGGGGGGGTCCCGATCAGCACCTCCAGGTAGTAGCCGCGGCCCGAGTCCCCCCGCAGGTTGTCCACCATGGCCAGGAGGCTGGCCGCGCCCCCGGCCGGCTCCGGCTCTGGCTCCAGGGCCAGGGCGAGCCCGTCGGCGGCGCGGGGCGCGGCGGGGGGCCCGGGCCCGGGGGCCGGCGCGGCCACGCGGAGGGGCAGCGTGAGGGGCGCGGCGGGCAGCGCCGGGGCGGCGGGCAGCAGCCACGGGGCCAGCAGCGGCCACAGCAGCGCCCGGGCCAGCGCGCCCATGCCGGCGGGGGGCCCGGGGGCGCGCCCGGCCGGCCTGTGCGGTCCCGTCCGGTCCGCCGGCGGCTGCGGCTCCGCGTGCGGCTCCGCTCGGCGCGGCGCGGGCTGCGGGGAGGGCTGGGCGCGCCGGGAGGAGGAGGGGAGGCGGCTGGGGAGGAGGACGGGGAGGAGGAGGAGGAGGAGCAGGCGCCGAGCCCGCCGCCAAGTTGAGCAACTTGGTCGCCGCTGCCCCCTCTGGCGGGCGGTGTCTGCCCCGCAAGGGCCGGGCCCTCCCCGCGGCCAAGGTCGCGGCGCGGGGTGCGCTGGGGTCCGCCTCGCCGCCCTCTCCGGCCCGGGCCGCGCCTCTCCCCCGGGGTCCCTCGGGTCCCGAACTTCCCCGGCCGCCGCGGCCAGCGGATGTGACGAGGCTCCTCGGATTCCAGGGGGAAAGTTTCGGGAACCCTTAAAGGGGAAGCGAGGGCCTGAGCTGGAACCCCGGGGCCCCAGCGCGCCAGGGCGCCCCGCCGGGGTCCTGGGGGGGAGAGGGGGCGCAGGGGCAGGGCTGCAGGGGGGAGTAGGGTCCGAGAGGAGAGCAGGGGGTCGGAAAGGAAGAGCCGTGAGCACTGCGGAGTCAGCGAGTCTGCGCCTCCCCTCGCCAAGTGCATTGGGGCCGCCCCCAGTCCATGGGGGTCTGACCGCTTCCCGGGGCTCCTTCCTGCGCCCACCCTGCCTCAGGCCCCCGCTGCCCCAGGCCCCCGCCCCTGCCCATCCCCTCCCTCCGCCCCTCTGCGGCCTCAGCGGTTTCGAAGCGCCAGATCGAGGTCTGGGGGGACTCGAGAGCTTGGGAGACTTCTCCGTGGAAATCCTGGGGCCCCGGGATGGGGGGGAGGGGTGAGGGGAGGAGAAGGGTGGAGGGCTTGGCTGCTCTCTCTGCAGCCAGAGCCTCGGTCTTCCCCTGGTGCCCACCGTTTCCCGCTGAGGGAGGGCGCGTCCGAACCTGGCCTTGACCCTGGATTTGGCCGCTCCGTGCTCCTCAGCGATGCAGATTTGCTGCTGCTGCTGGGAGCCGCCTGCTCAGCGCCTGCAGGACGCCCTGCGTGCATCTGGCAAGCTGCTGACACCATCGCACCGTCCAAATCCCTCCCCCCTCCCCAAATCCCACTGCACCCTCCATACCCCCCCCCCCATTCCCCCCTCTCACATACACACACACACACCCGCCCCCAGCCGCTCCAGGCGGATTCTCTCATTAACACCTGCTTGGCTGTAGACCCTGGCACCACAGAAATATGTTTAGTAATTCAAGCAATGAGGATTATTTGATTTTAGCGACTAAACGCAGGGAGGACAGTTACACAGGCTGTCCATCGATTTCTGAAGAAACAAGGAGCCGAAAAAGCTTTCTACCTCCAAAGGCTGAACTATGTTCGTGTTTTAAAGGAAAACAAGTCCATCCTCACACACCGGGGTGGCTGGCGCCCAGCGTCCCTCCTCGCTGCCATTTCCAGCGACTTCTACTCCAGATTTGATTTTATGCCCGTCTGCTCCATGTTCGAATCAGCTGGGGCTCTTCCAGGGAGCTTCGCTGCATTGCTTTTTAGATGACTTTAACTCTACATCCCATTTCTCCCCCAAATACATCCCCAACTTTAATAAACGCCCAGGCACGCGAAGAGAGGCCTCCTTGGGTCCCCTGATAAAACAGAAATTGCGATTCTCCTTAAATCTGCATACTTATTCCGGGCAATCACATTCACATTTGCATTTCACAATCAAGGTCGTGGGGGAGGTTTAATTTTTAAAAAGCGGTTATGCGCCTTCATGTCCGGTCTTGGGGGGGGAGGGGTCTGAAAGGCCAATCAGACAGCTCTCAGGAGAAGGTAACCTTATGAGAAGCCAATGGAATGCATTAAGGACGTTGACACATGGGTACGTTCAACACTGGAGACATTTGCTTTCTCTAATTAAAGACCACAAGGGAAATTTTTAAAAATCAAGTCTCATTAAGGCCTGTCCTTCATGAAACTCCTGGCTCCATCTCGTGTGTGCGGGAGCTTTCAGTCTGAAGAGGGCTCCTTCCGGTTTGCAGATACGCTGGTGCCTTGGAGATCTGGCGTCTGCAGCCCTGATGGATGGCAGAGCTGTCTCCTCAGGAAATGCTGCGCCAGGACTGACGGCCGCTGCGCCTGGCCTCTTGGTGGACTCTCAGCATTCTGGATCCCCCGGTGCTGCCTGGCCCGGTGTGGGGACCAATGACTTTCTTTCCAGGTGTTTTAATGGCAATCACGTGTGGCCATCCTCTTGTGGGGTAACATGGGTTTTCCTTCCTGTCATTCCGGAAGCACTTCTCCAAGAAGGAAGTCCCCTCCTATAGTATTGGGGAGCCATGGAGGGAGAGGGAGAAGAAGTGAACCCCTCCCTCACTCCCTGATAGCACCCCCCCTCCCACTCACACATCTTCAGCTGGCCTATCCCCCCTCACTGTTCCTATGGGTTTCCCCTCCCCTCTCCTCCTCCCCCACTTTCTTCCTCTCCTCCCCCCTCACTCTCCCCGCTGTGCCCACCTTTGTGGCAGCCACCACTTCCTTGGTCCGCTCAGGGAATCCAAAGCCTGGGGTGAGATGGGCCCTCCCTCCTTGGAAGAGCCAGTGTGGTCACTAAACACATCCCCAAAGGTGATCCAGGGTCCCGCTCCAGCCCATGGAGCTAACCAGGCGTTTCTTCCTGAAATTGGAGGTGCTTGGCCAGAGGGACTGTTCTCACTGCTTGTTGGTGTCCACTGGCTCTGGCTACTGTGACCAAAAGCTTTGGCTGCGGTCCTAATGGTCCTAACGGGTTTGGCCCAGGGGATAGAGCATTGGCCTGAGGACTGAAGGGGCCCAGGTTCGATTCTGTCAAGGGCATGTACCTTGGTTGTAGGCACATCCCCAGTGGGGGGTGTGCAGGAAGCAGCTGATCGATGTTTCTTTCTCATCCGATGTTTCTAACTCTCTATCTTCTCCCTTCCTCTCTGTAAAAAATCAACAAAATATATTTTTTAAAAAGAGCTTTGACTCCCTGTTGCACCAGCCCTCCTCAAACTCTGGGTTCTCAGGGCCCCTTTATACTCTCAAGAACTGAGGACCCCAAAGAGCTGTTGTTTATGGGGATGGCATCTATCAATAGTTACCAAATTAGGAAATAAAACAGAGAAATTTTAACCATATGTAACCACTCATTTAATAATAAGGCTATTACACAGCAATATAAGTAACATTTTAATTAAAACTATTCTTTAAAAACCAGTGAGAAGAATGACTTTTTTTTTTTTTTTTTTTTTACAGTTTTTGCAAACCTCTATCTGGTGTTAGCAGAAGGCAGCTTTCTCCTATGTCCTGCATTCAGTCTGTTAAGAAACTTTTGGAAAATTCTACCCAACTTGCAGGAGAGAATGAGTATAGAAGATGGAAGTAACATTTTAGTATTATCATAAAAACTAGAGGCCCAATGCATGAAATTCATGCCTGGGTGGGGTCTTTAGGCCTGGCTGGTGATCAGGTCCGATGGGGCCCGAAGACCTGGTGAGATTGGGAGAGGAGGTGACAGTCACTGGATGGGGTGCCTCTTTCCGTATCTCGTATTCCTCTGGAGTTCACAGTTCTCTTGTGCATCGTCATGATTAATCAATATTAATGGCAATGCAGGTAGTGGCAAGGCCAGAAGTGGGCCGCTGGCCACAGATCATTCCTCTGGCTGCATAGGCATCGTCTGCAAAATGCTGGTGTGTGCTGGTCACAGTCCAGAAGTCCCCGGCGCTTCCCTTCCCTGCTGGACGTCTGTTGGAAGTCCGATTCCGGCGCATGCCTCCAGAAGCACCTGCCTTGAGGGGGACCATGTGCGGACGGAGCCATCCTTTGTGTGGACTTACCTGTTTGTCGAAGGAGGAAGAAGCAAAAGAGTGAAGGAGGGAGGGAATGGAGGAGAAAAATAAGGAAGAAAAAGCAAGCCAGGCTACACTGGGGACAGGAGGAAGCTGCATCGTCACCACCCCTCCCAGGGCACCCCAGGCTCAGTGGGGTTTCAGAACTCCTGTGGGGCCCAGTTCCATCAGGTCAGCTCCATCCCCCGGAGAGAGAAGCAACATACCCCGAAACCACCTCCCATCAAGCTTGGGGCACAGAGCCCGCCCAAGTTCAGGCTCAGCTGAGTCGCCCTGGTGGGGCATCCCGTTGGGGGTCAGGGTAGGGGAAAGCAAGGGACCTCAAGAGACAGATATTCAGGCAGGGTCCTTGCTGTGCATAAATCAGCCAGCATGATGGCCCTTGACCTCCGATTGTCCCCGGGGCTGCCTGCTTGAGGTGAGGGACAGTCTCCAGTCTGGCAAGACCCTCAGCAGGGACACAGGGGGAGAGGGCAGCGAGGACGGTGCTGCAGCATCTTTGGGTGCCAAAATAAAGAAGGTGGGGGAGGGCCCCAGGCAGCAATGGAGGGCCCACGCATGCCCGGCCTCTGCTGTGTGTGAGCTTTTCTGGCCTCCCTCCTGACCCTCAGAGACACCCCCCTAAATCCCACCAGCAGAGAGAAGCTGGCAGTGTGGGTGGACAAGCCTGGAGCCCTCACGGGAAAACTCATCAAAAACCACAGGAATTCCTCACAATGACCTCAGCCTTTGCCTGAAGATTAGAGGGCCCAAGGCCACCCACCTGGCTCAAATGTGCAACCAGCCCCTGTGAGCTGCTTCTTAGCCAGCCCTTCTGGCACCCTATCCCCGCTCCATCCCCAGAGCAAAGCATGTCCGCTGACCCTTCCCCCTGCCCATTTCCATTCTCTACTCTCTCCCAAAGACTCTCATGAGGCTGGTTGCAGAGAGAGCCACACTGGCTAACAAATAAATAAATTTAAAAATTTATTTATTTCAAAGTGGAAAGAAAGAGAGAGAGAGAGAGAGAGAGAGAGAGAGAGAGAGATCAATGAGAGAGAATCATTGATCGGCTGCCTCCTGCACACCACTACTGGGGATCGAGCCTACAACCCAGGCATATGCC